AAGTTCTATACAGAACAAGAATGACAAATAAACTGTTGTCAGCTGCAATAATAATAATAAAACTTGCTGACGAAAAAATTAATTAGCACTATCTAACTATCTTGGTCAGTTCTGGGATCATAATTGTTTGATGGTCGAGGTTTTGGCGTGAAACCTGGTAATCAGTCGGCGTCTCCAAACATATTTCTAATTAGCATTATCTATCCCAGTCTGTTTCTATCTATCTATCTATCTTTTCATATCTATCTATCCATATCTTTTCATATCTATCTATCCATATCTTTTCATATCGATCTATCTATTGGATTGTCCGTAAAAGTTCATGCCGATTTTTAAAGGAAATTAAAACACAAGACAAAAGTATGCCATTTTATATTTATTCAACTAAATATAAACCATTTTGTTGCACCACCTTTCTCCATTTTTTCCTTCAAATTAAAGATTCCATCTTCCCAGATTTTAGTGGTTTCTCGGCAAAGAACTCATTAAGGTGTTTAAGAATTAAAATTTTTATCATTGAAATTATTTTGCAAGGACCTGAATAAATGAAAATCCGAAGGAGCAATGGCTGGTAAATATGTCATTGTTTGGTGAATACGGCAGCCAAGCTACCACTGTTTTTGCCGGGTCGCCAAAGAAACGTGATGTCTGGCACTATCCTTATGGAAAACAGCACATTTCCTATTCACCATTTCTGGGTGTTTTTCTTGAATTGCTGCCTGTAGTTGGTCCAGTTGCAGGCAGTACTTTTCAGAATGAATTGACTGGTTACTTGGCAGAAGCTCATAGTACAGGATTCCTTTCCAATCCCACCAGATAAACAGCATGACTTTCTTAGGATGAAGACCTACTTTTGAGGTGGCTAACGTTGGCTCATGTCGCTTTCCGCAGGGTCTTTTTAACTGAACATTGTTATAAACGATCCATTTCTCACCATCCGTCACAATTTGCTCAAAAAGAATGCATGTTCATTGCGTTTATACAGCAAATCACAGATGAAATGCGATCCAAAAGATTTTTTTTCATTCAGATTATGTGGTATCAAAACATCGTAGCGATTTGAGTACCCAAGCTTCACTAAATGCTCATGGATGGTGGATTTTGATAAATTAAGTATTTCTGCCAATTCTGTAATAAAAATCCGAATGAATGTCTTGATTTGATCATCATCTGTAGGGGGGGGGGGATGCCTGAGTGTTCTTCATCCATAAGGCTACAACCGCCAAATCTAAATTTACTGAACCACTTCCATACAGTTCTATCAGCTAAAGCACCTTCACTGTACACAACACATATCTTTTTTGTTGTTTGCGAGGTATTTTTGCCTTTACGGTAAAAAAGCATCAAGTGTCTAAAATGCACCTTATAATCTTCCATTTTCATAGGAATGCAAAATTGACTTGAATTAAGCAATTTTAAACTTTCTTTCCCAAGAGATAGTTTGAAGTGTGCTGTAATCGGAAATGTAAATATATTATATCTGTCGCTAAATTTGACGTGTTCTAACGTGTTGGAACATGAATGACTAAAAATCGGCAGGAACTTTCCGGACAACCAAATATCTATCGCTATCTTTTTTTTCATATCTATCCATCTTTCTATCTATCACTCTGTTTTCATATCTATCTATCGCTATCTTTTCATATCTGTCTATCTAACTACAGTGAGTCCCCCGCCTATTCGCATTTCAGCATTCGCAGCTTCACACATTCGCGGATTTTTCTTTAGAACATATGTATTTGTTATTCGTGTAAACCTAAAATATTCGCGTGTTTTTCTGAAGAACATATGTACAAATTATTCGCTGAGAACTCCCTCGATTCGCGCATTTTTTCGATAAAACATATTTAAAATATTCTTTTATTATTTTCCTGTTATTTAAGTGACTTAAAACATATAACAATCCATTTTTATGGTAAAAATTGGCAGAATTGTACATCTTCATTGTAAAAAAAAACAAAAAAAAAAAGTGCTTGGGCTTTGTTCTTTGTTAGGGGCTGCGGCTGGGGTCTTAAAAGTGGCTTATGCTAAGTCTGGGGGCATCATCACAGTTCTGTTTTCATATTTTATACAGTCAACGGTTGTATCGATCTATACGTAATTAAAAACTGTTATTGTACGCATGAAAGAAAATTTACGCTAAGTGTATGGTCACCAATACTATTTTTCAAAAATGTTTTTAAAACGGCTTGAAATGTTTCTAAAGTGTTTAGGATGAAAGTTTAAGGCATATTGGGTTTTAACAATCAAAATAGGTACTTACAAGTACTTTTAGGCGGATTACAAGTATTCGCGGATTCTATGTGTGGCCGGTTCTGGTCCCTAACCCCCGCGAATACGGGCTATCTTTTCATATCTATCATTCTATCTGTCGCTATATCTATCTATCTGGAAGATCTTTGATGAAGCGATTATAACAACAATTAACATGTGATAGGATACTACTGGCGAGACTCGTCGATGATTACGCACAGTAATGTTATAAAGAAAGATAATTTCTGATGGTAAATTCTCATTACTAAAGAATCACGAAAGATATGAAATTTAACACTTGACGAACAAAGATTATTCTGTTCTGACTCCAAGCTAAAGAAATCAAAGATTTAAATAAGCAATACGAGAAGACTTAAAATTCATTAATAAAATCAATTAATTCAATAGTTACTCTATTTTTTAACAAGCATGTCAAATATGCAAAAGGATATTTTTAATAATAAATATACAAGCAAGCATGAAGTGTAGATTTGTAGTACTTTGTTTAGCTTTGGAAAGCATTTTTCGCTAAATGTGCCTTCGGAATTAGGTGTCACATTTTCCATCCTCTGTCAAAATACACGCCGTTTACTAAACAGTAGTAAACCGGGTATAAACAAGCAACAACAAAAAAAAAACGGAAATAAAAACTCGACAAATATTGACGTCAAGACAATTCCGAACGAGTGTTGCTCGATCAAACCAGAAAATTACGTGGGTGTTCAAAGGAACTTGGTGTCACCAGACCGTTAATAATAGTAGCATAAAACCTTTTCGTTTTTTTGGGAGGGGGGGTCTAAAAATAATGTTGTCTAAACTATATAAGACTCTTAAAATTATTCTTTCAGTGTAAAATTACTGTAGTGCGACTGAATGTTGACTTTTATTCTAAGAATAGTGTTACATTGAATAGGAAGAAAAAACAGACACACATCCCCTGTGTCAATATATAGGGGCACGTATGGACAAAAACCGCCAACACTTGAGATAGGGTTAAGTCAACAAACAGTGGCCTGTCTCTACAAATATATCTTTTGACCAGCAGAAATAAATTCGCCCACTCAAATTTGCTGATTTGAGAGACATCGTGTGTATTCAAGTGTTCGGCTAATATATGACAATATTGATTGAATTCTATAAATGACAATTTGGCTAATTATCATTTACTTTAAAATACTTTTTTCGTTCTTTCTTTGACGAGGAACTCCACTAGGATTAAGTCAATGTACATGACGTATTTTTTCTTTCTTTTTTGCGCTCAATTATTTTTTTACGTTGTATCGATTTTCACATTCTGCGTATTCTCATCATCATCCAATGTTTTTTCGCCATCTTTCATTTCACCTGATTTTTCTTTCTCCATACATGGAAGATCTCCATGCATTAAAAAAAAAAAAAACTCCCATAGTCTTTATTAACATCTCCAGTATACAAAGACATAAATTGAATCCATAATGATTCACGTATCCTTTTCCACACTTAATTTTTTTTTCCAGTAGCCAACTGAATCGGCCATGACAGTCTACTTGTCAGCTATTTCTGAAGATGACTAGTTGTGCTTTATTGCTTGTTGTTGGTGTTCAGTACATCGAATTCAATTTCACCTACGTAGGATTTAATTTACGTGCAGGTCAAGTTTATAAATTCCCTGTTGACTGTGCGCTAAGAACATATCTTTTTTTTAAATTTTTTTTATTACAAAACAATGTCTGTCAATTAGGTCCAGTTGTAAAATTTATTTTAAAACCAAGTTGTTTAGTTTATATATTATTTTTACTTTGGGACGTTGGAAAGAGTGTTTGGGGATTTTAAAACTTTATATAACAACCCACTCACTAAAGATGGGTTATATTTTATTCAAAAATTGTTTAGACGAAATCTTTTTTTTTAATTACAAATGTTACAACTGTTCGCAACTAATATGGAGAACATACACAACAATATGTACACCAGCGGATATAAACGCCGCCTATTGCATTGTGAGAAATAAAATATATGGAGATTCGCCGTTACACTTCTTTAGCACCTCAGTTTGTAACCATCTTAATATCTGATACAAAAAATACAATGTTCTTTTGATGAATAAGGATTTGTGCCCAAATATTCACTTGTTGGGTAAGAAGAGTTTCAGGATGATTTGTAGTTCTCCCAAAATGGCCTTGTAAAACATGCATTTGATTGGCCGACTGAGACATTATGTCTCTTAGTACGCATGCGCCACTCCTGATTAATGCAGACAAGGTCTCCGTTCCAGCTTTTGTTCTGTTGACATGCTATTATCACAAATTACACCTCCAAGAAAAAACGAGTCCCTGATTTCTACAGACATTTAAGTTTTTGATTCAAATATAAACTATCACTTTATCTAGTGTATTTATGACTCTGAACCCACACAAATGCGTCTGGTGGGATTTGCTATCGCTTGGCCTTGAGATAGCCTCCCCTCCTCTCTCCCCACAAATGTTTTTATTTTTATATTTCGTGTACACTACTAGTAACAAAGGCTTCGTATACTATTTAGTGAGACGGTAGGGCTGTTATATTTTCTCTTTTCCCTCTAGATGATCTCTCGAGATATGAGATCTAAAAAGGGTCTGTTAACTTGTTCATAAATAACGTTGAATTCAAACGATAGTTGCCAAGGTAAATTTGTGTGTCCTTTCTTCGTCTTCTTTTTAATTTTCCTTCTTAATTTCGTTTTCCTTCTTTTCTTTCTTTCCTTGTCCTTTCTTTTTTTTTCTCTTTGCTTACGGCCATATCACGTTGAAACACCGGTTCTCGTACGATCACTGAAGTTAAGCAATATCGGGCCGGGTCAGTACCTAGGCGGGTCACTGCTTGCGAATATCAGCTGCTGTAGGACTGGATGTGCAGGTGGTGTAATGAATAACGGCTCGGAATTGGAAATCAGAGAGCCGAATTCCAATTCCAGTCGGGTTCGTCATATTCACTTACACCGTCCTAAATACCCTTGGGAAAAGTATGAATCTACCGCTTCTCTACCTACCCCAGCTATCGGTTAATTAATAGGATTTGTATCAATAAATCATTATTATCTAAAAACAAAATATTACAATCTAAAAATATTTTAATTTAAACAAACATTGAAAAAAAAAAGTATAAAGAAATATTTAGTGGCTGAAAAGTTACGGTTTTTTTGAATATTTGGTCAAATAAAGATAAGACCATGTGTGGTCAAAAAAAAAAATTACTGGACAAAAAATTTTTGCGAAAACTAGTCAATGTGTGCTCATAGCTTCAGGCATGTAGACATCTACTTAGAACTAGCTCATTTCCAGCATTAAATTTCAGATTTTAAAATGGCTAAGGGTAAAATTTTAACAAAGTTCGAACAGGACAGGATTGTTGAACTTCAAAGACGTGGTCTTTCGCAACGAGACATTGCAAATGAAATTGGCCGTATCAGAACTGTCATTGCTAACTTCATTAAAAATCCGGATGCATATGCTTCTAAAAAAGTCAAGCAATCGCCCCAATAAAATCTCACCATCTCTAGACAGACGCATTAGGCGAGAAGTTAAGAGAGATTCAAGCCTAACATCAAATCAGATAAAAGCGAATACAGATGCTGAATGCAGCTCTCGAACAATTCGACGGCATTTAAATAAGAAAGGGTTTAAGAACTTGAAACGGCTGCAGAGGCCTCGTCTTTTTCTTCGCCATAAAACCTCCCGTTTACAATTTGCTTCCGATTATCAAACTTGGGATGTGGATAAATGGAAGAAAGTGTTGTTTTCAGACGAGAAAAAAATTCAATCTTGATGGCCCAGACGGTTTTCAGCGTTACTGGCATGCAAAAGATGTCCCAAAAGAAATTTTCTCAACACGACACAGTGGAGGTGGATCAATTATGGTCTGGGGTTCATTTTTGTACAATGGAACTCTTGAGTTACAGGAGGTAAAAGGTCATCAAACAGCTGCTAGTTACATTGACATGTTAAGAAAGGCATCGCTAATTACTGAAGGCCCTCATCTATGTGGAGAAAACTGGATTTTCCAGCAGGACAATGCTGCAATCCACAACGATCTCCAGATTTTTAAACCCAATTTTGAGAATGTTTGGGGATGGATGGCAAAGGATGTTTATAAACATGGATCGCAATTTGAAACTGTGGATGCTCTTCGTGCTGCAGTTTATGCATCCTGGATGAGCATCCCAAACACCCTCATGCAGAAGTTAATAATGAGTATGCCAAAGTGAATTTTCAAAGTAATTCAAAAAATGGAGGATATACTGAGAATTAAATTGTCATTGTGACTTATTTGTTCTGTATTTGCTATTTTTATTTACATGGTCTTATCTTTATGACCAACCAAAAAAAACCTTTTCAATGTTTGTTTAAAAATTAATCAATTAAAAGCTTAAAATGTTCACTTGTTTGTTGATAAACTACATTTTCTAATTAAATGTAAATGTTTTTGCAAATATATTTTGATTAAAAGAACAGTATTTAATATTTTTTTAATCCTTTTGAATCTGGTCTTAAGATTTTGCCCAGGGTAGTATGTGCCTCAGCAATACATAAAAAAATTTTAATTACTATTTTTATCAAGGGAAAAATATAAAAATAATCTAAAATTTATTAAATTTTATGATTTTTTATGCCATTTTTCATCTGCCTTTAACATTTTCTCTTGTCCTTTAAAGATTACCTTGACCATATCGAATGAAAGCAAATTTCTCACCGACGTGGAAAAGTTAAAAATTCTTTTTCTACAGGTATTTCCATTGCAACTGCTCTGACAAGGTTTTTCCCTGCTGTCCCGAATACAAGAAATTAAAAAAAGACACTAATATCTATATTCCATTTATTTACTGTTGAAATCTCTAATTGCAAATAAAAATCTACTCCAACAGTTTAATTTCTCGCAATTCCCACCTGTTAAAACCCCTTCTGATTTCTTTTTCCTAGATAATGTCAAATCTTCAAAATTAAAATTTAAATTCAATAAAAATTTTGTCTTTTATTGAAGAGTATCATATGACATGTCCCTTCAGGATGTACAAAGTCATGGCTCTCCATTACAGAAAAGAATTTATTATCTGTGAATTGCCATGACTTCTTGGGAAAGAATGAAGAGGAGTGGTTTTCCTTTGCTTTTTTGGTTTTGAATTCAATAATGTCATTTATGCCATGTCCTTCAGGATGTAAAATCAAATCTCCACAAAAATTGTTTTTTTTATTATCTGTGAATTGCCATGACTTTTTGCTGAAAGAAATGGTTTTCCTTTGCCTTATCCAAAATTTTGAATTCAGATTCCATTTATGCCATGTCCCTTCAGGATTTTGGTGATCATGGCTCTTTCAGAAAGCTTTTTTTTTTATCTGTGAATTGTTTTGTTTTTTTCTTTATTCAAATAAAGGAGTGGTTTAGGATTTTTTAAATTCCTTCTCCATGGTTTTTAATTCAAAAGTAAGTCATCTATGACAAGTGTCCTTCAGGATGTTTCAAGAGATCATGGCTCTTGAATTCCAAAACTTCCTTTTTTTATTATCTTGAATTGCCCTTTGACTTCTTGGGAAAAAAAATGGAAAACAATCCTTTGATTCTCCATGGTTTTTTGTTTTCAGAAAAATCATTTTGACATTTCCCTTCAGGATGTTTGTGATCATGGCTCTAGGAATATTTTTTCTTTATTAAGATGATTTTTTGAAAGGTTTATTTTCTAGATTTTGGTTTTCCTTTTTCTTTTTTTTTCAAACACAAATGAATTCAGAAAGTCATTATATATTTGCACATGGTTCAGGATCTAGGTGATCATTTTCAACTTAATAAAAAATATTAATTGTCAAATTGTATGAAAGTTTGGGAAAGATTTTTTAATAGGTTTTTTAAAAAATCTTCATGGTTTTGAATTCAGAATGTTTATTTGATATTCATGAAATGTCCCTTCAGGATGTAGGTGATCACTGGCTCTAATATTCCTTTTTTTTTATTATCTGTGGTTTTCATGACTTCTTGGGAAAAAAAAAATTTTAAAACCTTTGCCTTCTCCATGAAAAGTTTAATTGGCATTGATTAAAAAAATCTATTTTCTCCCCTTCAGGATGTTTAAAAAAATTAACTCTCCACAATTCCTTTTTAATTTATTTTTCTGTTTTTTGCCATGAATTGGGAAAGCCTTCAAAAATTTTCCTTTGCCTTATCCATAAAAATTCAGAGTAGTCATCTATGCCAAATTCATTTCAGGATGTAGGTGATAAATCAAATTCTTTCCAAAAATTCCTTTTTTTTAAACATCTATTTGTTGCCATTTTATTTTTTAAAAAAAATTTTATAATGATATGGTTTTCTTTATTTATTGTCCTTTAAATTTAAATTTTTATTTTAACTTTCATCTATGCCAAAATTTCATTCTTAGATGATTGGTTGAATTCTCAAAAAAATTTTTTTTATATTATCTTTAATTTATGAATTTTTCATACAGGACAATAATATGCGTGCAGTGCTGATTTCCTGTTTGTTAAAGGTCTTCTTCAAGTTTTTGGAAATTGATTAAAGTTTTTTTATCTCTTTAATTGATCCAAAAAAAAAAAAAAATTTAAACTTATTTAATTAATAAATCTGGAGGAAAAAATTTTAATTACATTCATTTACCTCTTTTATATTATTTTCTTTTTCTTTTTTTATAAAAAAAATAGGAAAAAAAATTTTTAATTTGAACTTTATACTCAAAAAAAAATTTTTTTTTTGACATAAATTTCTGTCTTCATGAATTTGGAAATTTCTGTGCCTTTTCTCCAAATAAATACCTCTCTGCTCTTTTTTTCCCAAGGTTTTATCATTTTTTTTTTATTTAACCTTGGGTTTTGGTTCCTTCTAAAGTCTTTTTCATTCTCTTTCAAAATCCCAGTAAACCCTTTTATTAGTTGCGTTATCGCCTTGCTTGTTAACATTTTATCCTTCTTCATCCCTCATAGTTGTTACATTTGCACACACATTTCATCCACTAAATGCAACGATTCTCATGGGACAATTTTGGTTTCTTCATAAAGTTTAAATAATGTTAAAAAAATTCAGAATATTGTTGGGAAAAATTCAAAAGAAAATAATCATTAATAATTGTCAAAACACAAACTCATTTAATATAGACTTTTAGACAAATAATTTGATCGCACTTGTCAATTCAAATTCAAAATTTATTTTAAATTCAAACATCATGATCATTGAAAAACAAGACAAAAATGTTGAAGCAGCTTTTGTTTTGTTTGCGCTATTCGACCTCGACTTTCCATTGCTTCTGTCACGAACCGATCCTTCCCTGATTGCAACATTAAATTCAAAATAAGATGAATTCAAAAAAAAAAAAATTGTATCAAAAATTAGAACTTTTCATTTAAAAGGTCGATTTTGCATTTTTTCTAAAATTAATGTCCAAATCTGTTTTGACTTGTTTAACAGACCAATTATCAAAAGTTAAGTCAAAAATAGATTTAACATCTTTATTACTAACTGAATTATTGGTTCTACGTAAAATATTTTTCATTTTAAGCTATTGTGTTTAACGACATAAAAGACGTATATTTAAATATTTCCTTCCATATTTCAATTGCAGAACATATTTCTTTAAAAAAAATTTAGTTTGCTATTATATAAAATTTCATTCCATTTTATTCACTATAGTATGATATTTAATTTCATGATTTGATGTCATTTTAAAAAAAAAAAAAAAAGTAAACAAATTTTTTTTTCCTTTTTTTTTTTAATTTAATTTTGCATCCTTGTTTTATTTTTAGGTCAAAATGTTTCAATAGATGTATCTATATCCATTTAAAAAAAAAAAAAAAAGATTTATGTTCAATGTTTTATTTTTAAATTTTTTCTTTCAATTTAATA